CACACACACACACACACACACACACACACACACACACAATCTGTGGTTTATCTTTTCACTTTCTCTGTGGTATTTTTGGTGAACAGTGTTTAATTTTGATGTGACTGAATATAAATGTCATTTTTTAGTTAACTCTCATGTCACAAGACTCAAGCTCAAGATATCTCCAAAAAGTTTTGATGTTTTGCCCCGCATGTTCAGGATGTGGAGAAAAAAGCAAAAACCAGGCAAGCCAAGTATCAAAAGAATCTAGCCCGAACACTCCCTACCTCCACTAGGTTTCAAAAATGGCCCACATCCACAAGGCATCCAGCTGAGAGCAGTTCTCAAGCCATCAGTGGTTTGAGTCATACTCTGCCAGTGTGGACTGGCCGCCACCTCCTGCTGAGTCCCACCCAACCACTGTCCTGGGCATGCCCTTCACTTTTCCCATTTTTTGGATCCCCTAAACCTAGAGCGCACATCTTCCTCATGCTTGTTTCCTCCCATATTTTGGTGAAGCACCAGTAGCATTCTGAGAAACGGCCTCTGTAATAACATGAAGGACCAACTGTCAAATCAGTGATCTGGATCAGAGATCTTACCCGTCCTCAAGCGCTATCGATAATGTCAAGAATATAAGTAGTTGCCAGGCCCACATACAGCATGGAAGACTGAGACAGCTGGCTACCTCCCTGTCCCTTCCCATCAAGACACGTTTGTACACAGATCAGCACAGAACGGCTCTAAAACCTACCTGCAGCTCCGATACTTACATGGAAGGAAATCCAGTCATGAGCATCTCTACGTAGATGGTTACACAGCTTGTGTGACATTTTCCAGGGAGTCATGCCCCATAAATCAATAAATTCCACAGGGTTTTGTGTGTGTGCTGTTGCTATAAGCAATCTTGGAGAGACCAGGTACTTCCTGCTAAAAGCATTCCATGTGTACCAACTCTCCCACTAGCAGACATGATTAGTCGTTTGCCTGGAGGCCAACCACTAGCGACTTCACAAGAATTCTTAACTCCCGGTCCCCTTATTCCTCTCCCAGCATGGACTGCAGGCCTGATGCCAGATGCTCTCTTCATACTGCATTAGAGGAGATCGGTTTAGACCTGTTGCAATCATGGCCCAGTCAGCTATTAGAAACCACATCAGCTATTGTCATAAATGATTTAACACTGGTAACTGGCTTCAACTGCTATGAGAGGACTAACTGACATAGTACAGAGTGGCTTCAGGGAGCAGCCGTCACCACTGCTTGGCAGGGGGAAAAAAGGGAAAGACCGAGCTCAGTGAGGCTGGAGGATAAGCACACAGAGCTGGGCCCCAGGCTCTGAGGAGAAGCACTGCCTGATGGTGGTGGCATGTCTGAGACAGGGAGAGCAGGTGGCGGGGGTGGGCAGGTGGGAAATGGGGAGCTGGAACCAGCTGCGGCAGCAATCAGTGGGCGCAGCTACGGTGAAGACACGGTGCCGGGCGAGGCTAATAAAGTGATCAAACAAGCAGCAGAAACGCCTTCTCCAACCTGAGCCTCCCAGGCCCCTTCAGTGCCCCCACTGACACGGAGAGGCAGCTGGCTAAGGCGAACCTGGTTTGCGGAGTCCCAGTCCCAGCACCACAAGGCAGACTATATGAGGGTGGCTTTGCAGTTCAAAGACAACAACTTCATGATTATGGCTGATTCCTAGCAGCACAGCCACACTTCTGACTATTCATACCCACCCGTCCTGCAGTGCATATTTAATTCCCAACAAGAGCAACATGTGGCTCGCGGATTCCTTGATTTTCTAGTAAGTTCAGCAATGCCCTGGAACTTTGCAATTCATGTGATTAATCTAGCATCTGGGTGTTTTGCTGCAGTAGGGTCTTGACAAGTACCTAGTTATATCATGCTTTCTAAAGTGGAAACTCTGAATATAGTTTTCAAATCCTCTGCAAACAATTCCCTCAATTTATATCTCCTGAAGGGTCAGCCACTCCATTAGCTTTTAATAAGTGCTGTCCCTATAACCACTAGCAGAATTCATTCAAAGCATTTTTTAAATATATAAGTATCATCTTTTCAAAATGAGTTTCATCATCAAAGCTCAAAGTTGTTTTTATTTACAGAAACCAATTTGTCAGCCTTCTGGGGGTCTTACTTAAAATAGTCACATTAACATTTTTTTCAACCAAAGTATTTGACAAGAGCTTGCCTTTCCCTCTTTGTGGCTCATGTGTTCCCATTTGCCCTCAATAATTGTTAATTTCATCCCTGACCTTTTGGGATCTTCTGGCCCTTCAGAATGATTCTTTCCCCAAACACTATTGGAGTTCAAAAGGATGTCGTTGGTTATTTCAGATTCTTAAAATTAAGAAAAAAAATCTAACCTTTAAGTGAAAATCATGTCTTAATAATTGTGTCCATCCTCCACCCACCAGACTTCTACTTCCTTCTGACCTGTGTATGGATTGACTCTAGAGAGATGGCTTGGACGGAAGGTGCTTTTGCCTTCTTCCCTTATGTAATTTCACTAAGATCCCTTTTTCAATCGACAGCCCCTTTTTCAATGTCCTCAGCCCCAGTTCACCAGCATTGTGTGGGGATTTCTCAGAAGCCTCCTCAAGCTTTTGCCACTGACAGTTTCCAGGACAGCTCAGTCCTGTCCGTCCATTTGACGTTCCGTTAAGTCCGGTGCTACCACGGTATCCTGTTTTCCCCTTCCTGCTTCTCACCACCCTCACTCAGACAGCATAACAGAGCTTGCTGTACTGTACTCCCTGACATAAATCTCCTGGTTAAACTGGCTCCCCCTGCCCATGGCCCCTTTCTCTGAAAGCACAGCCTTCTGGCCCTTTCCTTTCAAAGCCCAGTCCAAACTGTTCCATGATGGAAATAAACATCTCCAAGTTAGGCCTCAGAAGATGATTTAACAACAACAAAAGAAACTGAAATATGGTATTTGTGCTAAGAGGCTTAAGGAACAGCTATATAACAGAGGATGAGGTGGGCCGACACGTCTCACGGAGCAGGCAGTTTTAGCAGGCTCCTGACCGAACAGCCCCGTCCTGGGTGACCTTGAATCCAGCACTCAGCCTCTCTACATATCCGGTTCCTCATCTGTAAAGAGAAAGTCTCACCCTTGTCCTGCTGATCTCATAGAGTATATGAGGATAAAATGAGACTATTCATTTAATCAGTATTTGCCAAAAGCCTACCATGCGCCAGGCCCATTCTAGGTATTAGGAACACAACAGGGAGTCATTTAAAACATTGTGTTTATGAGACTCATCCATGTGGCTACATGTAGCTGAGACTGGCCATTCTCATGGATGCAGAATACCCCATTCTGTGAATACTTCACACTTGATTTATCTGTTCTACTCTTAATGAGCATTTAGAAGTTTCGGGTTTTTGAAAATTGGAAAATGAGGCTGTGAACATTCTGGCATAAGTCTTGTAGCAAACTTACATACAAATTTCTGTTGGGTCAATTCCCTTTTAGTCAAATTATGTCAGATAGAAAGTCTCAGGTTGGAGCCAGTACAGGGTCACATGTCTCTCACTGTCATCAAGATGTCCTTATAGCCTAAAGCCAACCTCGGGCCCAGGGCCTTCAGTATCCCATTCTCTCTAGCCAGTTTTCCAACACTGTTCTATCAGCGTTCCATATTCTTTTAAGATTATATTTGACAAGAGGTTCCTGGTGCTGCATTTATTCATATACGTATATGTATTTATATCCTTCACATGTTATTTATGTAAGGATTCTCTTGACAAGTTTTTTTCAAGTTTGAAAAGTAGCCATTTAAATAAAGTTGTTAAGTACATAATGATTAGAGGTGGATACAGATGGCAAAAATGTGAAAGGGGGCATCAAGTGATTGTAATTTAGGAAATGGCTACTCTAAAAAGCTACACTGTCAAATTAAGCACCCTGGTTTCTCACCACTGGGTGGCAACCTGCCCAGATTAGTCGGTTTAATTAAAGACAAAGTGCTCAGGTGGATCTCCACAGTGAAGAACACGGCAGCCAGCATGGAGCCAGACTTGGAGGGGTTTCAGAGGAACAGCAATCATGGAATCATGTGCTGTGTTAGGCATCAGTGAAAATAAGGCAGGACAGCACCTCCAGTGAGCACCAATCAAAGCTCCCACCCATGGCCATCATCCTTGACCTTGGTGTCCCAACAATCCGAGCACCGCTGACATCTTGAGTAAGTCCCCACATCTATGACCACGCCTCTTTCCATCTCATATCCCAAATGCTCATGGTCCAGCAAGTGTTTTACTCTTCCAGGACTTGTAATTAATCCATGTATCTTAAATCTATCACTCAATCATTTTTCTCATGTCATTACTTTTCCCCTGATCCAGCTTAGATTCCATGGTTCTAGGATTATAAACCTTCCCCTGCAGACCAGCTTTAAATCCCTGGATGCTCTTGTGTTCTGCTAATGGCCCAGTGATGCCCCAACCGTGGGTAGCCCACTTGTTACACGCCTTATGCTGGGTTTTTTACTTTTCACCCTGAGTAAGGGAGTAAAGCGTACACCTCTGTTAACTGGTCACACGGTTGTTCATGGATGATCTTAAACACGCACTCAACTCTGCTCAGCTGTTTCACCTTACCACCCTGGTATCTTCTTTTCACTTTGTCCAAAATGACTACTTCTCACTTCTCACTGTCCCCCACCCCCTGCCCCATTCTCCATGTTTAGTTTATCTCATACTTGTTGAAAGACTTGAAGTAATAAGCACAAACGCTTGAACAGTACCTGGCTCACAGTATGTGCTCAGTAAACTTGGCCATGGATATCATACTTGACCATCAGTCACCTTGATCCAACCTACAAGCGCCCACGTCATTGTGATCACTGGAGCCCAACCCCTCTCACTTTCTCAAGGACTTTGCTTCTGTGGTTTTCTCTTCTCTCCTGCATTATCATCTGTCCCTCTCTGTTGGATTATTTACACCAGTATAGAAACATATTCTAGCATCTTCTATCTAAAAATAAATCTCTGGACCCAGGGTCCCTCCATCTTCCACCTCATTGCTCTCCTTTTCATGGACAAACTTCTTTAAGAAGTTATCTGTGTCCACGATGTCCACTTTTCCCCATAGCATGCTCTTCTCACCTCACTCCAACCTGGTCTCCTTTCCGACGCATTCCCACATTGCCAGACGGGTCCTTACCAAGTTGACTAATGATTTCCATGTTGCCAGACCCAAAGGACGCAACCCTGTCTCATGTTATTTGATCACAGTACAGTGTTCCCTCCTTGGGGCCACTCTCTCTTCTCTGGGCTTTCTCAAGCATCGAACTCTCCTGATTCTGTCTACTGAACTGGTGACTTGAGTCCCAGTCTCCTTTGGTCGCTAGTCACCCAAACCCAACTCCAGGAGGTACCTCGAATTCCTCCCTTTCCCTCATCTCTCCATTCAATCCATCAAGTCCTTCAAGAATACTGTCAAACAATCCACAGAATGATCGTAGCACCCTGCAGGGTGCCTTGGACATATAATATTTTCAAATTATATGTCTGATACTAGATTAATATCTAAAGCATATAGAGAACTAAAAGTCAATCACAACAACAAAAACCAAACAACTAATTCAAAAATGGGCAAAGGACATGAATACACATATCTCTAAATCTCCAAATAGACAATCGACTAATAAGCATATGAAAAGATAATCAACATCACTAATCATTAGGGAAATGAAAATTAAACCTACAGTGAAATATCTCTTTACAATCATTAGGTATGAACAGCAGAACAGAAACAGCAGAAAATAACGAATGTTGGTAGGGATGTGGAGAAATCAGAACCTTCGTGTCATGTGAATAGGAATGTAAAATGGTGCAGGCATAATGGAAAATAGTACTGAGATTCCTTACAAAATAAACACAGAATCAGCATATAGTCCAACAATTTCATTTCTAGGTATATACCCAAAATAATCGCAAGCAGAGTCCAGAAGATGTTTGTACATCCGTGCTCATAGCAGCATTATTCACAGTAGTGAAAATTTACAAGCAACCCAAGGGTCCACTGATGGGTGAATGGATAAACAAAATGTGGTACACACATAAGTGGAACATTATTCAATCTCAAAAAGGAAGGAAATTCTGACACATGCTATCATGTGGATGAAACTTATGGACATGATGTCAAGTAAAACAAGCCAGTCACAAAAACACAAACACTGAATGACTCCCCGTATCCAAGGTACTTAGAGTAGCCAAGGGAATGGAAGCTGCATGCAGGATGCAGGCTACCAGAGAATGGAGGATCGTTTGATAGGCAGAGTTTAATGAGTTCCAGTTTTGCAAAACGAAAATGTGTTCCAGAGGGATGGTGGTGACAGCCACAGAACAATGTCAATGTCCATAATGCCACTGAACTGCATACTTAAAAATGGTTGAAGTGGTGAATTTGGTTATGTATCTTGATTTTTAAAATGATTTTTTAAAAAAAGAATACAATCCAAACAGATGCCAAATCCGCATTCTCTCCATGTCCAGCACTACCTAACACAAGTCACCACCTCCAGCCCGGACCCACTGGCTTCTAGCTGGTCTCCCGGATTTTCCTTTTGCCATCCCAGAACCTTTATAGCCAGAGGTCATCTGTTAATCTTTTTTAAGATGTAAATCATATTCAAATACCTCTTTGCTTATTAAAGTCTTCCCATGACTTCACCTCATACTTAGAAAAAAGCTCACACTCCTTACTGTGGCTTTATAAAGGCCCGCCCTGTCTGGTCTCTGGGTACCCCTTGGACCCCAACACCGACCACTCTGCCCGTCCCCCAGCACACTCAGGCCACAGACACATCCTGCTGGGTCCTTGAGCAAGTATGATCCTTTCTGCCATATGCCCTTTGCCCATGTTTTTCCCTCGGTCTGAAAAACCTCTTCCTCCTCTTTCCACTTCAAATTTCAAAGGACCTGAAGTAGCCCCAGATCACCCTCAGTCACCTCACTGTATTTTCATTTTCTTCATGGCACTTGGCCCACCTGACGCTTCCTCCATTGCTTTGTTTAGACATTTGTTTCTTGATGTCGTTCCTGCGTTAGAACGTTAGTCTGTCGAGCGCAGCACCTTGCAGGGTGCCTTCAACAGTACCTGAGGCATCGCAAGCACTCTGAAGATACCTGTCGAATATTACATGAGTGAAAGAAAGAGACTAGAGAAGGGGAAATCAATCAGAACATTTTGCAAAGAGAACCTGGCATCACACCCATAAAGGTCCCCACGATAGTTACTTAGAGAAATATAATAAATTGAGACTTTCTTTGTATTTTACAAGCACCTAAAATTCCACACAACCCTCCTCCATCCCCTTTTGAACAAACAACCCAAATGAGAAAATGAAACCTAAGGAAGAAGACAGGTTTGTCTGTAACGCCTGAACTTTCTACTGTTAGGATGAAATCCAACTAGTCTTATGGAGAACTTAGTATTTGAAGGTACTGAAGAACCTTCCTGTGGTTCCAACAAGCCACACAGGCCTCATGCACCCCAAATCCTCATCCAGCGGCAGCCTGAGGAGACAGCAGAGGGAAATCAAGGAGGCGCTGGGCCGGGCGTCTCTGGGCCGTCCCCACTGCAACGCCCCCGATTCTAAAGCGGATCTTAGGGGTCTCACCGGGCCCCAATCTTTTCCCCATCCCTGTGAGCGAAATGTGTCATCGGTGAGGGTCCGGACTGTCTCTCGGTGAGTTTTTAGAATGGCACACCTCCTCTATTAGATCACTGGCAACGTTAAACTGAGAAACATAAAACTCGGAGCAAAAACATTTCGTTTTGTGAAATCAAGCCCTCTTTTTTGCCTCTCTTTCTCTGAGCGCCACGCGTCCCTCAGGACTTCCCGCTAGGTGGCGCCCGTCCTCCACGGTACCCAAGCGGGTTGGTACGTTTCCTTTTAAACCAGGGAGGTGATTTCCAACTCTGGCTTTTTACAGGAAAGAAAACTTGTTAAGTTCCAAAGGGGAGTCTCTTTTGTGAGGTCATACTGCTGCACGTTAGGGCCTCGAGCAAAACCCAGGTGTCCGTATTTCTGAATCCAAACAACTTGCATCACCTGGCGTCTCCCTCTACACACGGTTTAGTTTATTGATTATAATAATAATGATGTATTTCACAATAAGGCTTACGTTCAGATCCGCAGGCCAGTGCGTCCTTCTTTTCCGATCTTCCTGCATGGAACAGAAAACAGACGTTAGAGTTGCCTGCCTGAATATTTTAAGCTCTGAGCTCCTTTTCTGATGAATTAGCAGCACAGAACGGGTAAGGAAGATGGTGGGAAACATTTAATGAAAATAAAAGAGAGAGTTTATTTTTAAAAACCGGTTAGAGTAGAAAGCCCAACTGGGCTGGCATTAGGCAAAGTCAAATTTGAATCCTGATTTAGCCGCTCATTGATGGCCAAGTGGTTTAAACATGGTCCCTGAGTCTTAATTTTCTCATCTGTAAAATGGGGATAATGATGTTTACTACTCATCATACCCGCAAGGGCATGTAGATTAAATAAAACAAAAGCCTGCGCTCCTGGCATGTTGTTGGTGAGCAGCATTTGTTCAAATATAAAAACTAAACCTTAGCCCGTGAGATGCTTCCTTCTGCGGTCTGATGTACCTGGACGTTAAAAGCCCTGGTGGGGGTCTGGAAGAGGAGGACTGAGGAACTCAGGAGCCGGTGTCTGCTGGCGAAAAAGTGGAGGGTTGCTTGAAGCCTGAGATGCTTCAGATGCTTGGAGTGCCCTCGGGAGCCTGAGGATGGTGACAGACGTTCGCCCTCAGTACCCGGGCGGCCGCAGTCTAGCCCGGGCCCTGGCTCGCCCGCACCAGCGTCCCCTCCCCGCCCGCCGGCACATGCAGTTCAGCAGCGGCCTCCCAGAGCACCACGTACAAGCCCTCATTTTACAGGACTGGAAACCGCGGCCCAGAGAACGCAGGTGAATTCAGTCAAGGTTACAGGAGCCTGAAAGACGAGTCCCACGCGACCTCCCCGTGCAGAGCCGCCCGCGGCGCGCGCCCTCGGGCCGCTCCGGGCATCGAAGGCCGTCATCTCCCCGGGAGACCGAGGGCGCAGGTGGAGGGTAGTAGCTGGGGCGCAGCGCGCGGGAACCCTACCGGAAAATCCCTGCGGACTCTGGCGCCGAAAAGCGCGGGCGCAGCTTGCGGCGTGCGCCCTAAGGCCGGGGTTCGCCCCCCTTGACTCTTCCCTGCATCCCACCCTGCGTCGCGGCCGGCGGAAGCATCACCGCCCAGCAGCGCTCCGGTCCGGGGCTGTTCCCGGGGCGGGAGGAGGGGCACCTAGGGGGCGCGCAGGAACCAAACTGCGGAGGAGGAAGGAGCGAATGCGCGTAGATGCAGGGTGGGTACGAAGCGAGGAGGGGGAGAAGACGAGGGAAGAGCCGGGCGAGGGGTAGCAGAGGATGCTCAGGCCAAGGACCCGCACGCTACCCGGGCGCCTTTAGAAGACTGGCGGCCACCAGGGCTCTGCTGATTCCCGGGCCGGCCCAGGCCTGAGCGCGGCGCCGGCGGAGGGTCAGGCGCAGCCAGGCGGCCGCGGGGTTCCAGGTGCTCGCGGCCCCGCCGGGAGCAAAGCGCCCGCAGTGGGCTGCTCGCGGGGCCCCGCCGACCTCCTACCCCCCATATGCGCTGACCTGCTCAGCCCTCGCCGCTCAACCCCAAGCGCTGGCCTTTGACCACCTCCGATCACCGTCTTCCCAAAGCCTTTTCATCCCCACCGACCCCTCGCTAGGAGCAACTTGCAGTCCAGACCCGTGTGTTTATCTTCCGCCAACAACCGCCTCCCGGCCCTGCCTGCAGCCGTTCACCAGACCTAAAGGTCGACACACGGCCGCAGTTGCCCCGAGATGACACGATCACTCTGGCTTTGCGCCTCCTGAAGACTCGAAGCGCAGTCATTTTCTTACACCCTGGACACACACACAAAACGGACTACTCAAAATCACCGAACCGCATCTTTCCAACCCTGTGGCAAAGGGCATATCCTACTGTGATTTGGGTTTCTTAAAAAAAAAAAAAAAAAGATGGGGAAGGGGTAACTAAATAATAGTTATTATTTTCAAGTAAGTCTCAAGTAATTATTTACTTAATTCGGTCATTCATCTCCCAAACATCTCCACCTACCTGTATGTCTCACACTTTATTATAATCTCTGCACACCACACTATATCCTAACCTCACAGTGAGATACTGTCTAGGACACAGCGTTCACATCTGCCCATCTCTCACCTTCCGGGTGATCAGCGTCAATCTCCTCCTGGATTGGCCCCCAGAGAATAACAAGAAATTGCTTTAGAGTGGTGGGGGAGGGGGTAATTTAAAGAACAAATAAAGGTCAGCGGGAGGAGGGAAAGGGCTCCCTTTTTGTGAATCCTACTAAACGTTCATTTGCGTTCCCCTTCCTTATATTTGGGGGATATTGACATCAAATTTAAACACCTCTCCCTCAAAATTGATGTAATCCTAAAGAACTATAAAGGGCAACGGCCTCTCCAAGTGTGAGTTTTCCCCCAAATACACCACAGAATGTGTGCACTGTAGCGTATTTAAGGTGCAAAATGTGGCTGAAATATTGGAAAGTATAGATGCTGTAAACTTCCACCCCTCCTCCCGCCCCGAAATTAGTAATGGGTGTATTTCATCCTGTGGCGCAGAACAAGAACCACCACAAAGAGAGAAACAAGGGAAATATTTATTTTAGTGAGAACAAAAAGACCAATCCCAGCAATTTACTAAATTAAAATCACAGTATTCTCAACTTATTTAATGGTTCAAGTTGAGCATTTGGTGTTAAGTTAAACCTCTGGTAAAACTTACGGAGACAGTAAAGTATGCTACTTGAGCAAATTTTTATCTAAAAATAAATAACAAATAAGTAACAAATGTTTTGATATGCCCACAATATTTGTGTTTCTTAGCTTGGTTCCTTTTATTACATAAAATATGCAGTACTTTTTTTAAAGCACTTAATGTAAGTTCAGGATCATTACTTATGGTACTTCTCAGATACTCTTTTTTAAAAAAAACAGGTATCTTTTTCTAATCTTATTCAATTTACAAATAACAGAATATTTAAAGAACAGATTGAAAGGTTTTTATTTTCCTTTCTGGTGTAAAATTTAACAAACTCTAATTAAATGCAGTTTTAACAGCCCAGGGAAAAACCGCACAATTTCCAGAAACTCTCTCAAATATGCCTTCTAATTTCTCGCCTGAATTTGGTTCTCTAACTGTACAGTCTTTACCTTTTTGATTCTTCTATAGAAATCAAATCAAATACAGAAATCAAATCAAATCTAATACAAAAATAGAGTGATTTTAATTATACCAGCGAAAAGAATTAGGAAGCCCCGAAAGGAAAGAAGCACTTTGTTCGTCATAAGTACGAACCCTCCTAGAAACTATGCGTGCGGTTTATGGGACAATGTTATCTTTTATTCTCCCTTCCCCCGTCCCCCGGATTTTGAGTCAACTAAATACCGTGTTCCATGAAAGCGCTGAAATAGGGGTATATATCTACAGAGGTAAGCAACCTGGTATTTCGGGCAGGATGTCTGGGTGGGTGAACCGCCTTGTTGCTGGAGATGCTTCGAGCACCACGCCTGGGAGGAAAGGGGTTAAGTCAGACCCTGACTTTCTCTGCGATCTGTGCCCAGTTTTGTCTGTTACCGTCAACATTGCCCAGCTGGAGCCAGCCAATGGGCGTCCGGGAGCGTCCGGGACAGCCCCGTGAAGGGGCGTGGCCTAAGGCTGTCACTCAGCGGTGAGGAATGACACCCGGGCGGGAGGAGGGGGCCCCCGGTGGAACGCTGGTGAAGGAAAGAGAAGAAGCAGATAAAACCAGGGCAGGGGGTAAAAAGGTGCCCCGCGCCTCTCGGAATCCAGCGGCGGCCGCCGCCGCCGCCGGGGGTGCGCTCCGGAAGAGCCGACCCGTCAGGGAAGGGAGAGGACAAGTCGAGGAGCCAAATACTGCAGGCGGGGAAGACAGAGGCGCAGAGAAGAAGTTAACTCCGGCCGAGCGCCCCGGAGGCGCTCAGGAGGGGACTGCGGCCGCGGCGGGGCCCCCGCCGATCCTCCCACCACGTCCTCCGCGGGGGCCGACCCCAGCCCGCCCCTAAGGGCGCGAGGCGATGAGATAATCCAGCTGAGCTGCGGAACGAGAGCGTCTGGCGCTGGATCGTTGGGGGAGGGGGTCTCCGGGCGGGGTGGGCCTCGGAAGTGGGGGTGAGGGTCTGCGCCGACTCCTGGCCAGAGGGGGGCGGGGGCTGCTGCGCCGCGCAGGAGTGGGCTGCAGGGGCCTCGCGCGCGGGGCTCACTCGCGCTGCGGCGGCCCGCGCGCTCCCTCCAGCTCGGAGCTGCCCCGCGCCCCGCCGCCCGCTGGGCCTGCCGCCCCGGCCTGCGGCGCAGATGGCTGTGCGCGGCGCCAACACCTTGACGCCCTTCTCCATCCAGGCGATCCTCAACAAGAAAGAAGAGCGCGGCGGTCTGCCCGCGCTGGATGGGCGCCCGGTGCCCGGGGGCACAGCGGTGGCAGTGGCTGCGGCTCCCGCCGTCTGCTGCTGGCGGCTCTTTGGGGAGACAGACGCAGGCGCTCTGGGGGGCTCCGAGGACTCTCTGCTGGCGTCGCCTGCCGGGACCAGAACTGCTGCGGGGCGGACCGCCGAGAGCCTGGGCGGCTGGGACTCGGACTCCGCGCTGAGCGAGGAGAACGAGGGCGGGCAGCGCTGCGCGGACGCGCCGGGGGCCAGTGGGGCCGGCCGTGCGGGGGGAACCGTGGGCCTCGGCCAGCCGGTCTGCGAGCTGCCAGCCGCCAAGGATCTGGAGGAGGAAGCCGCGGGCCGGAGCGACAGCGAGATGTCGGCCAGCGTCTCAGGTCTGCAGAGGCTTCGCGGGGAAGAGGGCCGGGCTGAGAGGCTGGGCAAGAAGGGCAACCAAGCCAGGTGGGGTGGGCCTGCTGTGAGCACCCTGAGCCCTGGGGCCCCGGGGCTGACCAAGACCCGGAGCCCCGCGCGCTGGCGCATACTGCTCTAACCCTCCGGGAACTGAGCCTGAGGACCAAGAAATAACTCAGAGCCCTGAGTGTTGGAGCGACGCCTGAGCCCTCATGGGGCAATGTCCACACCGGGCTGGGGGTAAACCGCTGCACCCCGGCTTTTTGAGTCCATGGTCAGTGCCTTCGGCGGTGTCTGTCTCCAGTTCCCCAAAATCAGCCAAGGGGAAGAGCGAGGGGCCCCGAGACCTCGGGTAGCCTGTACTCAGGCCCTGGCCCAGAGAGCAGAGACACTCTCGGCTCGAGGTTCCAGGGTCCCGCCCCACAGCTCAAGGATAGGTAACGAGGGATTCCCCAACATGGGGCCGAGGCCGACGATCTGCCGATCAGCGAAGCCCAAGCTTTGGGAGGAGAGCTAATTTAGCTTTCCCAGTCCCAGCCCAGGAGGGCTGCCCTGGGCTGAGGACCCAAGAGCTGCAGGCAAACCTAGCAGCCAGCTGAAGGCAGAGGGGCTTGATTTAGGTCATCCAAGGCACAGCGGGGAGAGGGACCCCAGCAATGAGCTGGCACGCCATTTGGCAGAGAGAACCCTGCGTCTGCCCTTGTGGGGTGGATGCTGCAGTCAGCTTCACGCCGGCCCCATGCAAATAGTATCTGCCAGAGTCAGAGTTGGAATTCTCTGCTAGGGTGCTGTGAGGAAGAAGCCAAGCAGCTGGCATCAGATGAGGGTCCAAGGAATCAAAACAGTGACACCCTCCTCCTCGTCCCAACCCCCAGCCCTCTTCTCATTTCTTTGAGAAAAGAGGAGAAGCCCACGAAGGCCTTGTTGCATCCTATTGCCACAGACTTCACACGATCCCGGGTGGTTGGGGCCCTAAGACTCGGAATACTTCTGTCCCCATGATCCAGCCCCCACCTTCCCTTTACCTGAAGCCGCCATGCGTGTGCCAGGACCATGCCTGTGAGAGCATGAATGTGGGGAGGCGGGTGAACCCAAGGAAGGATACCGAAATGCAATTTGGAACCCCAGGACTCAGCGCAGAGAGCTGAGAAGGCTTGTGAGGATGCTCAGGCCAAGGACCCCCATGTTACCGAGGGGAGCCTGAGGCCCAGAGAGGGCAGGCAGCTGGATCTCGGCTGCACAGAGTTGATACAGCGGCTGGGTCCGTGGCCCTCAAGAGGAAGGGCCTAGGTGCTGAAAGCGAGTGCGAGGGATCCTGAGACTTGTCTTCACGACGCACAGCTTCCAGGCCCTTCCCACCTCTGAGGTGGGATCAAAGTGTATTACGGCCCCCCCACCCCCACCCCATCCCCGCAGTTGAGGCCCGACCTCACATCCCCTGCGGTGCTGACATCTGTTTCTGTTCCCACTGGGGTTCGCAGGCGACCGCAGCCCGAGGGCGGAGGACCACGGCGGTGGCCCCGGAAGCGCACGCGTGCCGACGCTGTGCAGCCGAGCCGGCGGCGGAGGCAGCGGGCCGGCGGGCGGCGCGGAGGAGGAGGAGCCCGCGGCGCCCAAACCGCGCAAGAAGCGCTCGAGGGCCGCCTTCTCCCACGCGCAGGTCTTCGAGCTGGAGCGCCGCTTCAACCACCAGCGCTACCTGTCCGGGCCGGAGCGCGCCGACCTGGCCGCCTCGCTGAAGCTCACTGAGACGCAGGTGAAGATCTGGTTCCAGAACCGCCGCTACAAGACCAAGCGCCGGCAGATGGCCGCCGACCTCCTGGCCTCGGCGCCCGCCGCCAAGAAGGTGGCGGTGAAAGTGTTGGTGCGTGACGACCAGAGACAGTACCTGCCCGGCGAGGTGCTGCGGCCACCCTCGCTGCTGCCTCTGCAGCCTTCTTATTATTACCCTTACTACTGCCTCCCGGGCTGGGCACTCTCCACTTGCGCGGCCGCCGCGGGCACCCAGTGAGCTGACCTGGGGGGAGGCAGAAAACGATCCCCACGCCCCAGCTCCAGATGGCCGCTGACGGCTGTGCAGGTTGTGTACTGCACAGAGGCGCCGCGCCGAGGGGGCAAGTGGTGCATAAAATACAGCACCGGCTCTGCTATCCAGCAGTGGGCCCTGGCAGCGGGACTGAACGTCCAGAGGGGTCGCCTTTTTCTAATTTGGACAGAGGCACCCTATAGCCTAGGGGCCCTGCTCTACCCGCCCCACGCTCATCTGCCTGGAAGCCCTTGGACATTATTTATTACCACGACAATGTTGAATTTGGATTGTGTCTGCCTGGGGATGGCGTCTCCCCAGAGCAAAGAGAACTCCTGGAGACCACATAGCCTGAATCCCCAGAATTTCAGGCCTGCCGGGAGCTTCGTGCTAGGCCACACTAGTTCATGGTATCCATGCTACCAATCTATGTGTATCTACATATCTATTATTTTTGAAAATTGCATTTGTTTCAAGGGGGTGAGGAACCCTGGGAGCCCCAGGCCAGTTGATCTGAACCGTGAAGGGTTTGGTTTTCGGGCCCTCTGCCCCCCCCCACTCCTGCCCCGGAGTCAGAGCTCAGGTGGGGCTCCCTATTGGGTGCTACATGTAAGGAAAGGAGCGCCTTAGCCCAGGAGCTCAGGGCAGGCAGGGGTCCTGAATCTCTTTCCTCTCTGAGGTCCAGAGCCGCGACCAACTGGGGGGCGCCTGGGAGCCCCCGAACCAAGAGAGAGCAAACTCGGCAGCCCTTCGTAGAAATTTCCCTGTCTTTTTATTTTTTTTAAGTTTTAAAAAGGAGGTTAAAACTTGTAGCACTTTTCAGTTGTTTGTACTCAAATGACGGTTATTTTTGTATTCAATGTGAATATCCCTACCAGCCTCTTATTGGCTGGCCCGCAGTTCGGCCGCCAGGCCCTCTGTCTACCGTCCATTTGCAGGATTCCTGTGTTCGGACCCAGGATTCTCCCATCCCTGTCCCTGCCCCTAAAACAGATTATCCTGTCAACCTCGTGTCAACTTCGCCGCTTTTGCCTCCTTCAAGGCACCGTGCACTCAACTAGAGTATTAACTTTAAAAAGATTTGTGAAGTTTGGAAGTTCTCTTCGCTTTATTTTTCTTTTCTCATTTAATTTATAAACCTTTAGTTTAACACGCCCTCCTGGACGCCGTGTTTTCTCTGAGCCTCTTTCCACCGGCTTCAGGGAATCCAGTAACAAAGAATATTTCTGGGGCTCCTTTACCATCCTCTTTCCAATTCTGGACGGAGGACGCTTCACTCCTGCAGGCAGACGCCCTGCCACCCACCCCGCAGGAAGGGTTTACACCCGGGCAGCTCAGGGATTCGAGATTTTCGAGACTCTGCAAGGGTCACCGATGAAGCCCACTGAATCGGGAGCAAATACCCAGTATTCCTTTTTTTCTGGCGGGCATTGGTGAACCCGCAGCCAATTTTCACCCCCCAACCTAGCCTGCTGACCCCTCCACCTCCTTGCGTTCCCTCTGCTTTTCATTCTCCATGCGTTTCTCTAAGTGATTCTGTCTTTATCTCGTTTCGAGAATAAGCTAGCAAAAACTCCTGTTGAAGCTTTGAAGACGTTAGGGGCGAACAAGGCGATAATAAGGTGTCCCCCGGGGACGGTCGCCTGCGTTCTGACCCGTGCTGAGTGCAAATGCATTCGCCTTGTCCCAAAGCGCTTCCACTTTCTGTATGAGGCGGCCTTATTTGATTCGCACAGAATTCCAAGGTGGGAGCAGAAAACAGGTAGGGCCAAGATTACATATTATCCCATTTCACGGATGAATATAGTCCCGCCAGCGTTTCAGGACTACTCAGAATGCCACAGATTCACCAGAGCCTAATGCTCACCTCTCTGTTCTCTCTTGCCGGGTCCGGGGCGAGCAAGAAGAGTTAGTGCCACGCTGCGGGCGCGGAGGCCTCCAGTCCGCGGCCGAAGCCGGGGAAACGCCGCGGAAACCCAGGCCCTGGCTACTTTCAATTTCGCCCGCAGTGGAAAAGCGCACTGCGCCCTCCTACCCCGCCCGCAGCTTTTCCCAGCCTCGGGACCCTCAGGCCTTGGAACCTCAGAGGCTCGGGACGGCGGGGCGGAGGGTCCCAACAAGCGTTTTACGAAAAAATCCCCACTTCTGGAAACAAGAAAAAAGCAAAGGGAAAGACAGAAGCCTTCGCGATGGGCACACCGGCGCGCCCAAGTCCAGCTACCAAATGGTTCCTGCAATCATTTTGTTTCTTTATGACATGTTTAAAAATCCATTTTAATTTCGTAAATAATCGTGAAAGTATTTTCCTTCTACAAAGTTAGAACATTTCTGATAATGCTGAAATCTCCCCCCTACCCCTTCCCGTCTCCACAGATGGCTCTGCCTCTCTCCAGAGGGTTTTTTTTTTTTTTGCGGAGTGAAGGAAGTCGGTATTTTCCCCGTCCGAAAATGGCAGTTGGTTGTGACGGCGTCCTAAGACAGTAGTTTGTTTCCCGTCCGTGCGAATTTGCAGCTGAGAGAGTGTCTTCCGAGCAGGCCGGGCGCCGCGCCTTCGCTGCCCTGTACCCTCCCCGGCTCCCGCCAGGGCCAGGTCTGCTAGGCTGGCTCCGGACCCCCCGACAAAATTACTCAAACGAATTCAGTTTGACCCGGATTGTTGCATGTCACTCGGGCAGCCATGAGGCTGACGTTACCGCCAGCACCCCGAGATCTGAATCCGGGAACCAGGCAGCCTGGGAGGCCAGCTCGGCTCCGAGGATTCCCCACCGCATTTTCTGACCCAAGATGCGTGTCTCGACCTGGTTCCCCGGCCTCAGTCGCATTTTGGTTAGAAATTTGCAGTATTACTTTATTCATTTCCTTTTCTTTTTCTATTACCACTCCGTCGCCCCGCCCCGCCTTGTTTTTAAAAGAAGAGGAACAGTCAGTCCTGCTCCCTCCCCGCCCTGCTGCCTGCCCGAGGGCATCTGCCCCCACCAGCTCCTTGCGCCCCCTGGGCTGCGCCCAGCCCTTTCTGCCTTCTCCGGCCCGATCTCCCGAGCAGCTGCCTTCTGGGCCCAGCGGACTTTTGACCTCTTCATCTTTCTCAGTCCTTTTGTCCTCAGTGAATCTCAGAGCTGGCCTTGGGGATCGTTGGGACCGACCCACACACCTGCACGGGTAAACCAAGGCGGGAGGAAACGCTGGGAAGGGGTCAGAACATGCTAAAATCGGTCCCAAGGAGTCAGGCTCAGCCTATAAATAGTGTTCTGGGCAGCAAATTTAGTATGGAATGATGCTAAATATCGCTATTGCGTGTGTGCATGTGTGTGTGTCTGAGTGACTTGAGGATTTGAAAGAGCTTCTCACTTGAGGACTGCAGTTTCCGACGCGAGGATCCAGAGCAGGGGCTGCACAGACCTGGGGGCTTCTTGGTGAGTCCTTCCCTTCCGGCCTGGCCTCCTCTGGTCTTCACACTCAGGCCTCAGTCCTGACCACGGCTCCCTCCCATTTGGGTGTGGACCCAGCGCTTACTGGAGTCCCAGCCCTGGAAACCTGGGGTGCAGGGTGAGTCTCTCTCTCCAGCCCTCCCACCCTACCGCACCGCCACACCCCATACCCGCTGGCCTATTGGCCATGGCAATCCCAAGCTGTGCCGCACTCCAAGTGATGGGGTTTGAGGGACTCACAGATCCCCAGACAGTATCTGCAAAGAACTGGGCCAAGTAGGGGGAGCGTGAGGATAGGCAGCGTTTCAGAAAATAAGGTGCCTCTGGACTGAGGCGAAATCTCCGCTCACTTGCTGCTCCTCCAAGCTAGCAAAGGGCGGAGGGTGACAACAATCTGACTTCATTCTGGAGGGTTCAAACACGACGTCCCCCCGCCTCTCAGAGGTGGTTTGGTGGTGCCAAGTCATGGCCACCGAGAAGTTGGGCTCGTAGAGGGTGATATCTGGGGGCTTCTGAGGCGTGGGGAGCCTTTACCGACCTGGCAAGCCTGGCAGGGCACAACTAGCATTGCAGATGCAAGACCTCACCCCAGGCCTGCAGATGTTCCGTGGAGAGGGTGTCCTGTGACCCAAACCCCCAACCAGCTGCCCCACCCATGTTTCATCGGTGCTTTCCACGAAAAGGTACAGCATGGCCTCCCACAAAGTCCATGAGTACAGCTAGCTTTACAGAAAGGCCCCTGCCTCGGGAGAAAACTGCCCCCGACGGAGCCTGAGCCTCTAGGATATTTAGAAATTTCCCAAAACCGGAAAAGTGGAGGAAGACCTCCCGGACCTCAAAGGACAAGGAGGGGAGCGAGACAGATGGGCTCTGGGGCCAATGAGCTGCTGGGCTTAAGTCTTGGCGGGCCACCAACCTCACCATGCTGACAGTCTTAGCTGGGAACCGCACCGACCTGCGTGGGGGAACTGCAGAACACAGCTAGTGCTTGCAGGCGCTCCCTAAAATCAGAAAGCGCAGGGAGGAGGAGCCTGGGGGCTGTTGGTACGCACTCTAGCTGCGCGTGGCTGCTGCAGACGGCCGGGCCCAGAGCCTCTAAGGAAGCAAGAACAGAGGCTCCTAATCCGAGGGAGGCTCGGAGGAGAAGCTAAAAAATACCTAACAATAATAACTGTAATTCCATTTGTTGATCTAGGGTGTTACACGGGAAAAAGTGCTTCTGTCTGTCTGCTGAGGTCACCTTGGCCTTTTGGACAGGACCTCCATTTTACAGGTGGGGAAACTGAGGCTTAAAAAGGAGGTGTAACTTGCCAAAGTCTCAGGCCATTCATCAAGAGGTCTCTTCAGTGTCTTTCAAAGCTCATCAGCAGCGTATTTCAGGAGTTGAGGCGGAAGGGTGGATAATCTTTTAGAGTTGGCATCCACCAGGTTTGATTATGGGTGGTTGGATCACAGAAGTGTGAGGGTGCGGAAACCATTAAACACTGTGCAACTGGTATGGCCTTTCTATTAGTGTTGCCATGATGATTAGTATGATGAACTTCTGGCCAATGCATGAGCTGATCTGAAACAATCTTCCTTGAACTCCTGCATCCAAGGGTTCCAAGTAGCATGTTCAGCGAAAGGTCCCTCAGAAGTAAAGTTTTCAACAGTTCTTAAACAGTTTTCAAGTCTTCTGATAAATATGTTTTAAAAACGAAGAAACGCCAACGCAGGGTTGCAAAAATTTTGGTTATATTGTAAATGGTTACACCATGTAACTTAAGTTTTTTTCCCCCTGGAGTTACACACAGAAGTTATTCAACAGAAACTGGGTTGTTCAAATCATTAAAACATTTATATAAGAAGATTGATTCCCAGGGGCCCTACAAGCAGGGGTGCTCAGGTGTAGGGTACAGGCTAAGGTGAATCATGAACTTCTTTCCAACCTGGTGGGTGTATACGATGCTGTGCCTCCTATGAAGAAAACGTCAAATTCGGGACAATTCACGAAAGAGGACTAGGCAAATGGCTCTGCAGCCCTGCAACCCGTCGCTAGCGCTGTAGTGAACAGCTAAAGCGTTCTGGCTTTCCCGGAGCTCACCCGAAATTCGTCGCATAGGTGAATAGCATTTCTTTGCTCCTGCTGGAATGTCAAATTCAAAAGGAATATGCGGTAGCTGCTGGAGCCGGGCGTCACCTTTCCTCAAGCCTCTGTCAAGATAAGCTCGCTCCAGGGCTCAAACATTTCTTCCACGCTTGCGTGAGGGTGCGTGACGCGCTCCCCCGGCCCCAGGTCCGCGCTCTCACCTTCTCCCTCCCACAAACACCCCCGTTTTCAAACCTTGGTGCCTCCGCCCATGGTCCCGTGTGCGGCCCCTCAGCGCTGCGGTTAGCTTGCCTGGGAAGCCAAGAGCGCGCGTTCTCTGCAAAAGCCACACGGTCTTCAGCGAGCGCCTGCATCACTCCTTACTGTTCCTGCAAGTGCAACTACAGCTTCTGACTTGGGCCGCTCAGTACTGTGGGTTTCTCAGTGAGTCCTTCCGGTCACGACCTGGTCCCCGCAGGCGGTCCACTCAGGCCTCGGAGCTGGGCGTGGACCCAGCGCTCAGGTGAGTCCTGGTCCTGGGAACCTGGGATGTAGGGTGAGAGCTTCTCTCTCCAGCCTGCAAACTCACGAGAGTGGAAAGTGGTCAGATTCGGCTTAATGGCTCCATAGGGCCGTAGGGTGATTCTGCCTCGGGCCTGGAGTCTACAGGTGGGAGGTAGTTCTGCCATTAACTTGATGGATCTTAAGCAATTAACTTCTTTTCTCTGGATCTCTATTTAAAAAAAAAAAAAGGTGAGATACTGCTTAAAGCTTCCGAGTCATGTGGAGTCCACACTCCCCTCTGGCTTGGAGCAGAGGAAAGGACAAAGCCTTTCTACTCTAAATAATGTCCCCCCTAAGCGGTTTTTTAATGGTGGTGATGGGGTGTGGAAGGGGAGGTTGTTTTGTTTCATTTTTTAAAAAGTAGTTAGGTCCTTGGAGTTGCCACCCTGCAGGCCTCTCCAAGGTCATTATCTCTGGGTCCCCTGTGTCTGATTCCCAGGCCTGGGTGGTCAGTTGTTTGGAAAATCCAGCTTTTCCTCGGTTACGACTTCTCCCCACTCACCGTGCTCGGAGGCTGTTCTGCCTCTGTGGCCGACGAGCTCCGGACCCTGTCCTTGAATGGAAACGCCTTAAGAAAAGAAAAAAAAATTAATGTCACAAGTATTTTCTCTCCCATGGTCTAACGGAGAACAAGGGTGGGAGGCATGCTGTAAAACAAGAGCCAGTAAAGCTGCTTAATTTAATAAGCTTATTAACATTTTTGAATGACTCCCCTTGTGCGCGCCAAGGCCTCTCTTGGTGGCGAGGCGGAGCAGTGAGGTGGGGATATTGAGTCACCGACCAGCACACACGCGCGCCGGTACTGCCTCTCTGGGCACTGGGGTCCTGGTGAGGCGGGGGCTGCTGGGCGGCACCCACAGTGCCAAGTAAGGACCCCGGTGTCCCTGGTCGGGCCATGCCTTTGCGCGCACCAGCTGTCTTGGAGACTGTGACGTTGGAGGATCCTGGGCTGTGTGGGGTCACAGGTCGCCGACGAGCTCGAGTGACCCTAAATGCGGCCCCGAATTGCCCCTACAGCTTGGAAAAAGCCGCAGGTCTGGGGGTTTGCCTCTCTACAACATTTTTGCGTGTGTTTTTTGCAATGCGAGTGGGTGGAACTGACCTTCCTCGCTGCAGATTAAAATACGAAGTAGTAAAATCTCCACTGTCGCGCAGGTGTCGGGTAACCCTGCTCTTGTGGGCGGGCGTCCGGGCTTGGAATGCGAGCGTCCTGGACGGGGGGTAGGAGTATCACACGAGCTACTACTGACTTCCGGGAGTCTCTCCTCCGCAAGGGGGCCCGGGACGCTGCCCCTCCTTTTATTTCTGAGGGAAGTTGAGCGACGCATTCTTGGTACCCGGGACTGTGGGAAAGGAAGCCGGAGACACGCACGTACAAGGTGGTGAGAAAGGGTGGTGGAGGAACGTGCGAGCACGCGGGGCAGGTGAGAGAAAAAGTGGGCCAACGAGAAGACCTCGCTTGGCCCCGTCGTCGGTGTCCAAGTTCTGACTCACCGGCCTGGGGCCTTCCCCAAGTCAACACGCCCGTAGGTTTCGATTAAAAGTCCCTCCTGAGTATGTCTCTCCTCCCCGGTCCTTATCACCTGCCGCAGTGTTAAGTGATATTGGGTACAGCGCGTGCGCTGGGGTCGTCTGGCCTGGCCTAGAGACCTCTGGAAAGACAGGGCCAGGAGGGCTTGCCCCCGTGGTGGCCCTAGCGCCCAGCTCAGCACCTGTCGCTCGTTGACGTTCAATGTACTGTAAGGACTCATGAATAAAGACCAGGATCCTGCAGTTCTGTCCTCGTGGGGCCCGACCACGCACATCCCACCCACCAGCCTCGGGCTCCGAGCCCTCGGTCACAGGCGCAGGCGCGAAGCTAGCGCGGGGCAGGAGCGCTAGCGGAGCCTTTCCCAGCCGCTTCACATTCTGCTTCTCCCGGCCGATTGGGCGCGGGTCTTAGGGAAAAGGCCAAGCACGAGAGTCCGGTGTGTCTGGCGTCAAGTTCTCGGGCCTCAGGTTCAAGATTCTTCCTGGAGCTCGGCAGCTGGCGAGTAGGTGCTAGCAAACTCCACAAAGCGTCTCACCATTCCATGCTTTATCGCATTAAATGCACATAATACCTAATTAGCTAAGGGCTGAAAATCCGTGGCCTTGAATAAACATTCTGTTTCCGGTCTACATGGGCGTGGGGAAGGGCCTAATTCTTAATTGGACACATGCAGTGTTGTGGGGAGGGCTAAGCTGGTCCGCAGACGCAGACACCCGGGTGGGGAGTGGGACACCCTTGGACAAGTATGGGCGGGAGTGTCAGGTGGCTGGGCCTGGCCGAAGGGGCTGGGCAGCAGCGTCCCCGCCGAGCTGCTGCCCAGACACCTTGGCGTGAGCTGGTCTCATGCCCCTTGGGTTGAAACCTGAAGGCCGTGCTACTAGAAGGGATAGCCGCTTTGAGAGACCTCCTAGCCCCTGATTCCTAGCTTAAGGGCTTGGCGACACAGTAAGCATTCACATATTTTCAGATGAAAGATTCCTATGTATAGTCTTACGCTGTAAGGATGGATTCTGGGGCCACCTCCCTCACATCTCATGGCAGGTAGTTCTGGTTCCAGGAGAGGCCACAGAAATAGGAGAAGCTGTGTCCAAGAGCGCTCAACCGGAAAAGCTGAACCGGGGTATTCAAGCCCAAGGTCGTTTTTATTCTCCTAGAGAGAAGGCAGGAAGAGCTTCCTTCTGAAAAGCCCCATGGGAACAAGCTTGGATTTGGGACCAAGCGGTCCTGAAGACCTAGTCCCAGCTGCTCAGCTGAAAATATGGGTAATTACTCCCAGTGAAGATGGAATAGTCTAAGAACACTGTGCTTCTTGAGCAGTAGGCACGACAAAATACTCATAGCCTAACAGGTAAGTTTTGCAGTTAATCATAAATATTCACCAATAAAAAATATTGATGTATGGAGATGATAAGGGGTAGACAGGGAGTGCTGGTCAATTGCAAAAACAACCAAAACACTGCAAAGAGTCAACTCCCCACTGGAAATTTTCGAGGCAACAGGTTCTGTGTGCATTTTTGTGCATCCTTTTTAACTGCAGTTGTGGTTTTAACATAAATTCAAAATACAGACTTTTAAGGTTTAAAAGAGAAATACACTAAGTGGGGAACTTCACTTTCCAGTGGATTCCTTCTGTCCACAAGAACTTGGAGAAGAATCTCTTAAAATAATTATTTCCTAAGATGTGTATTATTTATTTGATTTACAGTAATGTTCTCCATGCAATGCCGCCTGAGTGGGGGAACATCCCCAATACTGGTCCTCAGTGTTTGTGGGAGACCGGTGTCCCACCTTTCTGTTCTATCCTGAGGAGAACGCAACCCCAGAACACCCTTGGGCAAGTGCCTGCCAGGGGGAGACCTCAAAAGAAAGCTCCTGGGGGAATAGTAAACAAATATTTTTATTTGAAGAGAAATATCTTCGTTATGAAACCACTAGTGACCTCATTTTACTCCTTCATTCATTTAGTTGTTCAAATACTCAGCAGTATCTGTTAGGCTCCTATTCTGTGCTAGGGATGCAGAGAAAGACCCCACCTTGGCGGAGCTTACCTTTAGGTGGAAGACAAGGGTGGACGTGCCAACAGGGAAACAAAGCAGGCTATTACTGGGGGTTGGGGGTCTTAGTCGAGGAAGGTCTCTGGAATGTCAGGTATCTGAGGGGGCACTTTCGTGCTCACTGATCTCTGGGAGCGGTTGCTGCCTCTCTAACTCCATCTGAGTGTCTCTATTCTGGGCTAACAGTCTGTCCCTCTGTGTCCCTTCATTTCAGTCCCTCGCCCAGCCTTCCCTACTCTGTGTGCGCCTGGGGGCAGAGAAAATGACTAGAGCTGTGAGCACCGGCTGCTCCTCACGAGCCTCGCTCTTAAACAGCCACCGCATCTTCGGGAGGCCTGCCAGACGGTTAGGAGGGAGAGCCCCCGGGACGCGGTGCCCTCGGGAGGCGTCTGAGGTCCCGATTACTAGCACTACCGCGACGTTTCCGGAGGCGGCTGGGGGCAGTTTCTCTTTCTCCCACTCCCTCCAAGCCTGTGAGGGCCTATCACCATCCTGGTAACCAGCGCTTTAAATTTAGTGCTTAATCTGTTTTCCTAAGTGCTTTACATGAATTATTTCATTCATTCCTCCCGGCAGCTTGATTAGTATTCCCCTACTTTGGGGATCGACCCTATGCTGCGGTTGTTACTGGCGGAACTGGGGTTCGAACTAGACAGTCTGGCTCCAGACCACTCAGCGCTGGCCACATTTCCGTTCTGTTTCCCACCGCAGAGCCCCGGCGCTGAGGATCCCATTTACAGAGGAGAAAAATGAGGCCTGGGGAGGCTAAGCCCTGTCAGGCACGGAGCTAAATGTTTAACGTTCCTTAGCTCATTTCATTTTCACCACCTCTCCGAGAGTCGGAATTCGCTCCAGTGGCCAAAAAGGAAAGAGAACCAGGTAAGGGAGTGTTGGTTGCGCGCGGTAATGGTCGTAATGGCACTGTGGTGTTAAAGACTTTGGGGCGGCTTTGGGCGTGGCTTCCACTTCTCTCAGACTCGTGGCTCCAGGGCGAGTTCCTAACCTCTGGTCCCCAGTTCCCTCAATGCAACAATGAAGATCTAGGTTTGCAGGGAGATAAAGCAGATAATGTAGGCAAAGCCCTTCGGAGCTGGTGCCTGGCACACAGCAAGCTCTCGAGGTGAGGAGGGCACAAGGCTGCACAGAAATAGCATTCCTAGACTCTTACCTGCTCTCTTCCCCTTCATTCCCATCTGCAGAAGGAAGGGTATTTCCCCCAAAATCCCTAATGTGGAGACATCAGGTGATAGTTAATGGCTTCTTTAGGGGGACTGAAACAGCAGTGTGTAAAGGAGGGCTTCTTAATCTAGGGTCCCTTAGCCGTTGACCTCTGCTTGGTGACAGTGTGGTTCCTGGTGACATCATGGATCCTCGTGGGCTGGTGGCTGGGACGGCCGGGGGAGGCAGGCTGAAGGACCTAGTACCCCTTTTTCTTGGTGGCATGATAGGAAGGGAGGTAGAAAGTCTACCCACGACACGTTGGTTGCTTTGAGTTCACGCCTCCCTGATTTTCAGAGATTCTGCCTTCCTTTCTCAGGACCTGATTGGCAAGAGCTTCTCAGCTCCACCCACTCATCTCAGTCTCCAACCCCCACAGCACCCATCACCAGGGACCACGGTGCACAGGCAGGGAGTTCTAGGAAGGGAAGAGCGGGTTCTCACAGGGTTGGGAGCATCCAGTGCTCTGCTCTGGCTATATCTGATCTCATTTAATTCTCAGGAGAACTGGGATTATGTCTTTTTTACAGGTGAGGGAGCTAAGTTTAGGAAGGTCAAGTGACTGGAGTAGGGTCCCACAGTTTTCAAGTGCAGGAACCCGCCCAGAGGGCCTGTAGGGTTTAGTTGCTCCCAGTACCGCCCGCAACACCTCTGTCCCACTCCCAGTCCTAGGGTGGGGTCTTGGCTGGTGGGGAGACGAGGAAGAATCCCACGGGGGAGCGGAAGGGTTATTCATTCTCTAGGCAGTTTCCTATTAAGAAAACACAGACTCTGGCCCGCCTCCTCCCCAGGGCCGCTGCTCAGCCTCCTGAAGGCGAGGCCTGTATATTTGTAGTTTGATTCCACCCGTCAAGCTTAATTTCTCCCTACAACTTAATGGACTCGGCTTGACATGCGTAATGATTCCTAATCACGAACACTATTTTCGCTAGCACGGAGACATGTTCCAGTTGTTGTGACAGATCGCATTTCAGCCATAATGACGGAAAATTACCATTTCTAATTCTCCGGTTTTTGACACCTAAATCCACAGACCATATGTGGCAGCAGGAACTCTGAGCCCCGCGGTATCCCATCCCCGCGACTGCAGAGATCAGGGGCTGGTGCTTCCACCCACCCGCCTCAGCGGGGCTCAAAGGGGTGGAGCCGAGGGGCCCTAGGGATGAACCCGGTTTTCCGGGCTGCTCAGCCTGCCGGCCCCACCCTCCAAAAGGAGGCCCCCTCACCACCAATGACAGACTGGAAATTGGAAGAGACCTCGGAGACGGATGCATTTTTCGGGACCCATTTCACAGAACGGGGATACAGAGAGGCACAGAGGGGAGTGAAGCTTGTCCAAGGTGGTGATGGGAGGGCTAAGTTTTTCTCAGAACCATTCCTGGGGTTCCC